TGTCTCACGAACGAAGTCTCCGTAACACTATATTCAACTTAACTGGGATACTTTGTTTTACTCAGTGCAATAGTATTATAAAAAGAAATATTTAAAATAAATAAAGGAGTAACATGCTTGAACTTCACACATTTTCCACGTAAAAACTGTCTATCATATATAGGAACGGAATTAAATGCTTGAGAGTGGAATTCTATCGTTGATAACGGTACACAATCTCAACTTTGAAGTGTTTACAACAAGTGTATATTTGCTTTATATTTTAATCTCCTTTTATTCGTGTTTGACTAATACGGCTTATGAAATCATATTATAATTTATCACAGTTATACGTTAACTTATAAAAGGTTTTCATTTAGTTTCATTTTATATCAAGTAAGAATATTAGAATTCTATACATATTGTTGAGATAGTACGAAGTGTGTGAGTAGTGCCGCCCGGCATATAATATGTAAAAAACGATTTATTCAGTTCAGTTGTCAACACGCGTTCGCCTGAATATCATTGTAATATCTTTCTGGCTTAAATATAATTATATTCACGTAAATATCGCCTATTCATTCATAATCCAACACATATACATATATAATAAGTAGAATAAAATGAAAAAGTAATAAAAAAAGAATAATCAATAATCAAATAACAACAAAACAATTAAAATAATTATGTTGTTTATTTACGGAAAACGTTTTTTACAATCTTAAAAGGCAATATCGTGGTCATAGAATGACAAAACGAATAAAACATGTAAGAGTCGATATAATTTACATAATTTAATGCGTTAGAACTCGTTTAAACGATATTTAAAACTTTTGTATTTTATTATAATATATACTGCCGAACTATTACCGTTTCACTAATGACGGTAAACCTGAACGAAAACTCGTCGGTAGTTTATAACGACCATTATAAGATAAATATTAGATGATAAATGAATGGAAAATTTATTTACATAAATCAGATATATGTAAGGAATATTTTGTATAAAAGAAAAACAATTGAATTATTAGATAACATACGCATTCAAATTTCCTGTTTAAGTATAAGATCAAGCCGATATAAATGTATATATTTTATTAAATATAATAAAAACTTGATAAAGATGAATCCTTTACGTAATACACAGTAATTTTATACATGAAAAAAATATTCGTGAAAACATAAATAATTCAAAGTTCTGTAATTGGCGTAACTAAAATGCTTTTTCTGAACGAACAATAGCCGTTTTATTTTTGGCCAAAATAGATAGACCTTCGAATCTACGATAGATCTTGTTGTGAACAGGTCTCACTATTTTTATACAAATTCCACTCATTAATATAAATTAAGTTACACTCATTTATTACGTAATTAAAATCTTTGCTTAAGGTTCTGCATACGTTATATATTTTGATATAGCACTATTTAAAAGTATCATAAAATATATTATTGAAGAGTGAATTGATTGAAATCGCCGACCTTATCAATAGACCTTACGTATAAGTGCTTCAACACAACACACTAGCACACTTGATATTTATAATCATTTAGAAGTAGTTCAATTTATCAGTCAGAGTGAAGTTGACATCAATTCTACTTTTACATTTTATATACAGTCACTTAGAATTTACGAAAGAGGTTAAACATACCGTAGCCCAATACCATTAGTTCCCAAGCTATTGAGAGATCAAACGAAAACTAAAAAATTTCTCGTAAAAAATTGTGGTCCTATAAAGTTGACTTAAAAAACTTCCATTGATATCGTTTCTTTACAGAAGAAATAAATAATAATCAATAATTTCATACTTTGTTCCTTTGTTTAAATAACTTAAATAATAGAATGAACAAGCAGTTTATTTTATATGATAATTTAAATTTTACATACAATACGGCATTTAAGTTTAATGTTGTTGTTAGGATATTATAAAATATTTACGAACAAAACAACTCTAAATTATATTTACAAAGAAAACTGTTTCTTTTCCTTCACTTAAAATATGAAATATTACTAAATAATGTTCAATTACTGCTAAGTGTTAAAGTATTTAAAAACATTAGCAGAACCTTGCAATAAGATGAGAGTTACTTAAAAATGTATGAAAAAAATCTCAATTCTGTTGCAAGATGAATCGGTCCAGTGGTTTCTCGTAACAGCTTTCACAATCTGATCTTTGGAAATAAGGCCCTTATTGTACCTTCTGTTGTGAAATTGGGCGCAATTAACATAAACTAATATTAGAAAATAAATTTAGTTAGAGAAGAAATCCTACATACATGTATACATAAAGAAAATGCGAGATAAAAACTCACTTAACTCTTATTCATATAAATAAACAGAAAATAAACGCTTACAGCATCACTCATTTATATTGATTTCTAGTGACCTCATCTCAGTGAGTCAGTTTTCATGAAATTTAAAATAATGAATAGTCGATTGAACACAAAAAAGGAATAAATACAATCACAGCCGAGGAATAGTTATAAAATTAATTGATGTGTAAAAAGTAAATAAATGAAATACATAACATTATAAATATGTATATTCAAATTTTGTTCACAAACCACGTGTGAAGCAATTGCTTTGTATTTCTTTAATCCACTGTGACAAGGTCTTAAAATATAAACGATGATTTGTAATATGAAAAATATGTGACAATAATCATAAAGTCATGTAAAAATCTGTTATAACAAATCGTTGTCGCATAAAACGACACACGTTTATAAACACCCATTGTTAGATGTATGTATGAAAACAGCGACCGTGATCTCATGCATGGTCGCAATTGATTCGTTACATTTACCCTATTGTGATAATTCACGATAATCGTTTCTTTATAATCACTTCCCGTCAAAAAATCATAATAAACCATTTATAACAATATAAAAAATGGGTCCGCGAACATCACCTTGAGAAACCCCTACATTACGCTAGTGCAATAATACATCGTCTTGAAATTTCATTGGCTTTAGTCATTATTGCTATTTAAAACTGCAGGATGCATACAGGATAAGAATATCCCTGTATCGTCTTTCTTGTTAAATGGGGAAATTAAGAGGAAGGTCACAAGAGCTTCGACTTCTGTTACCTAAATTAACATAACTGATTTGACGCGTTTAACAGAACTAGTTGGACACGTGAATCCATCATTACATGTGATAGGCACGTGTGAAACGAAATTATTAATTCATTCGTCATATAAAAAATAATGTAATAAATTATACAATTTTTCCAATGTATATATAATCTTATGAAATAATTCGTTGATAACTAATAAAATATTTGTAATTTAAAGAAATATACTTTAACAATGACATCAAGTTATGTCAATATATGTGGAAATTGTTAATTACTTAAATTATTATACGATGAAAAGTTTCTTAGTATTTCTACTATAATTAATTTTATTTGTCTTATTTTTTAAGCCAATAAGGTAGCAAATTAGAAAGCGGCCTGGTCCATCTGGTTGTCAACATTACTGTCGCTACGGGCATTAAAATAAGGGCAATTTCACACGCACTGTCCTCCTACCTTACACATTTTATTGTATACTAGAAGACCTGGGGAACTTCGTATCGCCCTATAATCAAGAAATATCTATTACGTTTTTTTATTTATATTTTTGGAGTTTACCTGTAAGCCATAAATCTCCGTGTTTTTAAGTGCGACAGAATGATTGACATATTAGTTAGTTGTCAAATCTAATGTCAAAAAAAAACGTTTGTATGGGAAATAGAAAAAGGCTGTTTTTATGGTTTTCCCAGTAATGAATCAATTTTTTTCAGCTTTTACACCTTCCCTGAACCTCCACGAACATTTCAAGACTAAGATAAGATAAATCCGTTCAGCTGTTCTCGAGTTTTAGCGAGACTAAGGAACAGCAATCCATTTTTATATATATATGTAGAAGATAAATAACTAACAAAAGTTTTGATAAAAGAAACATCGGAAATTAGCAATAATTGATAATGATATGTTATAAATCAAAAGACTCTTTTTAAATCATCTTTATTTTGTCATTGACAATTTTATAAATCGCAATTATAAATGGGCTTTGAATTATCGGCTTTTCAACCTACTTATCTTCAACCTACGCTTTCATGTGGCTTCATAAACATCATACTTGAATCTCTCAAACGTAGTATATAATACAAAATTATTGATTTGGTATGTTAGTTAGTATCTTCTAAAAAAAAGAATATGAATTGATATGTAATGATTTTAACGAAACTTTTTTACGAATGTATGGCAAGGAAATCTTAAATTACATTTCGTTTTTTTTTTATCATCCTAAAAATCTATAATTCCAAGATTATACCCTAGTAATATTTATTACTATGCATAAATATGGATAGCAATTTCATACAATTCAAACAAACATTCAGCGAAATTTTAATATAAATTATACAAGATAATTTTTATCGTTATAATATTTAAATGCTTACGAAAAATTCCTGATAGGAGTTTCACGGAGTAAGCCATCCATTAAACATGCGATACATCACAATCATTACATTATTTGTCTCGCAAAAGATATTGAATTTGTAACTGGATTATTTTAATCTTATGGATTATTGACTTAGAAGAACACACGATTATCAAGAAAAACGTGATACCGATAATTTCAACGGTTTATTTATAGAAAACGAGATTGTCAGTTTTCACACACGCCCCATTTAGTACAGCCGTGATGTTAATATTATTATTTTAATTCTTTGTTGTAATTTCATGTGTATTTTCATAGAAAAATATAGATAGCTATATGTTCTTGTTTTGTGTAGTAATTGTTATTGCCACTTCAGTATTTTGTAAGAGGCTTAGTTTATTGAGTACGATGCCATGAGTTACAGCCCTGACATACATTTTAAAATCTCATTTTGTTTCGGGGACAATTAAGAAGCCATTGTTTATATTATTAAGGTATACTGAATTGGTTACCTTAAAGAAAACATCTATAAGTTTAACTTTGAGTTATTTGATGTGGAGAATATTTAATAATTGTTCGTTTTCGCTTGTTCTAGGCATGGTTGGAGCAGCCGATGTGGTCAAGCCAGCTGATAAAGTTGAATTCTATTCACCCCAGGTCAAAGAAACACCGATTTTCACTATCAGCGGTGAGTGAATAACATTGGATATAACTTTGTTTGATAAATAACTTTGATCACAAATAACTTCGTTAACAAATAACTAACACAATATTTCATACATTCAAATAATAACAGAACTGAGATGATAGATTAATCATTTTAATTACTGTCGAAAGTACGTTGAAATACAAAAGTCTTTACTGTATAGAATATTACGGTTTATAAAACTTTATCCTAACTTAGTAAGAACCGTATTTATTTTTACCATAATATTATATGACATATATTGAGCCATATATTTATATAAAACAAAGGAATATTATAATGTACTCCGTTTGTTTTATGCATCAGAATATCAGACGTATCAAAGGATTAGCAAGTCTTATCAGATAGTGCAGAAACATTACATCCGCACAATAATCTGTCATTAATCTCTGGATCACAAGAACATCTGTATGATATACATATAATAAATATTTACATTAATACATACATAAAACGTATCTATTGTAGAGCTTACGGTTCCCTGGGAAACCTATATCCCAAAGACCATACCATCAAGGTCAATAAATATTACGAGCTCACTAACGAACCCACTCGAAATAGGTTCGTCGTGGATTTGTACGCGATAGAAATGGGAGCAAGAGATATAAGGGCTCAATCTCTGTACAACCCACTAAAAGACTTGGGCCTGTCCAGAACTAATACCTGTTACTAATACTAATACTAACAGCCTGTCCAATTCATGCTTGGAACGCACTTCAAAGGCAGCCCTAGTAGGTGCGTTTTAAATTTGGATAGGTAGAGAGAGGAGCTTGGACAGTGGAGGTGAGCGTTTAATGCACGTTAGATAAGAGCCCCTTAAACCTACATCCAGGTCGCAAATGCAAGGCACTGTTGAAGCTCCTTTCCCTGAAACGCGATGGACCCGGTATCGTCATGGTGAATTATTTGATAGATAAGAGGTTTCATCTCTCTTGAATCATTTATCATAATTAATTTAGAGAGTATAAGTCATTTTAAACTTGGATAATCTTGGTAGGTTATTCTGATATATATGAGTAATATTTCAAACATACCGTTTTAGCTCTCAATTGTTGCTAATATTTAGTATCAATATTCTGAAGAGGTAAAAACGTAGATAACGTGTCTACTTTAAAAGGTGTTTCAATGAAAGATTTTTTGATATATAAATCAAATTGTCTTCGAATGCTACTTATTTTTTTGTTGCCATAGCAACAAATTTGTCAAAATAAAAGCTAAAGAAGCACGAAGCAAAGAATACGGACGGAATATATTCTTTGGAAAATTCATCTTAAATATATTACGAGTATTTATGTATAGCTACATCCAAAAAGATTTAGTAGATCATGTAAATTGCTCAGAAGCTAGGGTTTTATCGAAAAGGATATTTTCTATTCTTGTATGAATATATATGTTTTTTTTATGAATTAGATTAACCATACTTAGCACATGTATCATTCTTATCGATATTAAGAAAAGATTATCCACAAATTCGACAATATGCGATGCTGATACCGTGTCTTAATGGCGTGTATCTAAACATGCATTACAAGTTACATATAAGATATGGAAATAATCGAAGATTTTTTTTAAACATTTTTCATAAGTTAACATTCAGAGGAGATAGAATCTCGACTCGATATGATGGATTGCTTTAAGATTTTGGACATCCGATACATATCTAATCATTGCTTTCAAAGTCAAAGATTCTTATGCCAAATCTTCTTTATCATCGCAAATTTTATATCTATATAAATCAATCAATTCGATGTATGTTTGTTTTTCAGGTATTGAAGTTATTGATCAAATCGTGAATGAATTCTGATAAAATATATTTTTGACTCCCGCGATCCTGCTTCCTTCCCGAAAGCAATATCAGTTTTAAAAATATTTTATTTTATATGCTTATTTATTAGTTCTTAATTGTTATTTACGGACGGTGCAGCGGGAAAATAGTAGTATGTACACTGCATAGTGACTCATTTTGAAACAATAGCGTTGATTAATAAAACAAGAATTTAATTCAAGTTTTTGAGTTCAAAAAAAATGTGTTGATATACATTTAAAAATGATTTCATTAAAAAAGATAGCAAGATATTAGAATATAAGTATCAGAAGCACGACATATATTTATATGAAAAATTCTAAAGATGTTTTAAATTGAACACTCAAAAATATCGATTGTGGTCAATATCAGGATATATTAAATAACTTTTTATATAAAGACGTAATAGTAAAATCATTTTTATCATAGTATAAAACTAAATTCAATTTCCAGCAACATCTAAGTAAGAGTATAACTGTCTTTACTTTCGTGAATTTTATGTTTAACGACTTTTTACGTATCAAAATTCTTTGTAACCTCATTTGTTATAGAATAGGATTTACTCAAACCTATACCATTCATAATATCAAAAACTTTTTTAATGCACATATCATTTTAATCTATAATACTAATTTATTTAATAATAAATATTTATCATACTGGGGTTCTCCATTGGTAAATTTTAGCTACGTTTTTATTATTATTATCACACCTTCAATACTTTTATGACGCTTGCATCTAAGTTCGACTAGAGGGTTTTTTTCGAAATAATAGATGACGAAAAGCCAATTCAAACATGATATTTCATTCATTATATATTAAGTGATTATCGTCAATCCAAGCTTTTTTGACGATACTGATTGCTTGGTTAACTAGCTTGTTGAGATTGTTTAAACAACTATCCACTATTGCAATGTTTATTAATATTATTGAAAGTTTACAAAAGTATTATCTTTCTAGTAATTCTCTATTAAATAAAATATAGATTGTGAACAGACAATTCATGTGAAAAGGTAACAATATATGTATATTAGCAACATTCTTGCGAACATCACTTTTAGTTTTTGACATATTCCATTTACAATTCTGAAACATATACAGTTATTTATCTACTTGAAAAATAACGATATTCAGCAATGCCGTTATGGAAAAAATATATTTTTGTACAGCAATATTTGTACAGCTGATACTGAAATGCAAATTACATTGTATACTTTTAGCTTACTTAAACTATTTAATGGTATACTTATTTAATAATTGCTAGTAGTCTTTTCTAACCATTCTCAAGATTTACCAACCTTTTGAATATTTAATGCAAAATTTTAATACAACCGATTAAACAATTAAATAAAAAAGTCTTATACCAAGATATAAGAAATCTTAATTTTATTTAAATTTAAAAACTAATTTAATAAAGATCTAATTATTATATAATATGACATTAATAATAATTATTATTTGTTTTCGTATTTTCTACTGATCTACAAATAAAATCATAGATAAAAATAAAACAATAACATTCTATTATTATCTAAATCCATTTATTAAATCAGATTTTTGATATACATTATATAATCAGAGGAGCTTACAAGGTATTTGATCATTATCAAGCCAAGAAACCTGGCCCTTGTAGGGTCTAATTTATTCTATGAAAATGGAGGTTCCATTCTACAAGGGCATATGTGAATTATGAGGGATGCCCTTACGAAAAAATTGTGCGAAGTTGCCAGTAACGAAAAAGAGAATTACATTCTATAAATATTTGAAAAACTAACACAAAAAATATACGATAGAACTATACAAATTATTTTGCAATTTCCCTTAAAAACTGGATAAAACTCTAGTTCAATTAGTTGTTAATTTTGCCAGCAAAGGTCAAAGTTGTGGTTCGTAAACTGGCAGAAGGTCGGAATATGCATATGAATATTAACGAGAACGACTTAAGATAGATTATATTATGGAAATAGAGAGTTTAACCCTCAGTTCAGCGAGACCACAAACTTCGTCTGTTGTGGCAATTTATTGTATAATTATATAATATATACTAGCTATATCCCCGGGTGTGACTGTGTTTATAGTAACTACGTCGTAGTCTAAAAAAGAAAAATATCTTTGGAGTTTTTTTCCATACTTTTTATTAATGTCAATCCCCATTTATTTTCTGTGGCGTGTAGTTGTACCTAAAGATGAAGAATTTAAAGAACCAAATAAACAAATCTTTTACTTTTTATTATACAAAACATTAAAAATCTAAAAATAGACATCGGATTTGCAACGTAATATTTTTATAAGTCCCAACGTGTGTACTTTTTATTGTATGGTTAAAAAATGCTATTCTATATTCTTTAAGTATCATGTTCCTTAGTGATGTAACATATTTAAGGGACACATAAATTGGGATTACATTTCCTTCGATAATCCTTCATCTTATCATGATGATAACGAAGATTATAAAAAAAGAATCTATAAAAATGTACCATTTATATAGCGCCTGTTTTGAATTCCATCAATTGTTCGGTAGACTTGGGTAAGTAGGTACATGGAAATATTATCTTTATATTTATTGATTTAATACTATTAAGTTATGCTTTAGCTTATCATTATTTTAATCATCACGTTTATTTATCGAGCATCTTAATATATCATAAATTTAAATTATTTTTTTTATAAGCGCCATCTAGTAATGTTTAAACTTACTTCGTAGTTATTCTACCATAGAACTAAAAAGAAATGGCTTAAATACGGTGAAGATATATATACTTTTTAGTGTTGCCAAAAAAATATATATTCAATAAAAAATGAACATAAATGAAACACCATATTTATAATTTATTTGTTTTGGAAAGGAATTTAATTTTGTAAATTAAATACGGAGTTACAAAATCATAATAGATTAGATATTACCGAGTTCTTTTAAACAAGTGTTCTTCTTGAAGATATTTATATATGTAAATAGAAATTTATATTTATATATAAAATTCAACCTTGACATTTTCGCAGAATAGCTGTATGTTTAAAGTGATCGTTAACTAAATTCACTGAGGCCTAATCATCATTGTTGAACGAATTTGTTTACTTGCATTAACATATTTTTTTATTCTACCCCCATTTATCTGTCTTTCTCACTATGGAACCCGCAATACACGACTAGTTTCTTAATTAACATATACTCTCTATTTACACTTCTAATGATAACTTTATTTAGTGATAACAAGTTCATAATCATTAATGTAAACAGAACTGGTAATTATATCAAAACTAATTTATTTATAACAGAACTAGTTTCTCCGTCTCAAACTGAAGATCACGCATATAAAAATGTGACTATAAAGTGAATAATTTAAGAAAAACTCCATCGGAATGTTGGCTGAATACAATAAATTATAGCGGCTAAAAAAAATATCTCCGAAAAAAAAAATCAGTGACAGCTAATTGCTTGACGCGACTCAGTGTAAACAATGTTTTTACGTAGGAAATAGATTTTCCGTAAAATCTTTTGTGATAAAGAAATCTACGTCTCAGTTTTGTGTAACAAATTCAGTGATAATGACGAATTTTACGAGTGTCAGCATTGAAATAGCCATACGAAAGTTATGGAGGCAAATGAATGGATATACGATATTAGGTAATATTCAACATAACATTATCTATAATCTTATATAACAGTTGAAAAGAAGATATTTTGCGATACATAAAGGCATTGAATTAAAATTGATTAATGAATTCATTTTAATAAAATTTAATATGAATTAGTTCTTAACAAAATTAGTTATTTTTTTTAAATTATAACATAACTTGACTTAGTCAAAAACTTAGTGCAGAGAGATGTTTGTAATTGTATTCAACAGTCCAAAATATTAATTATATTACGTAACTACTTTTAAAATGAAATTAAATCAAAACGTAAGGATATTTATAAATAGTTATCACCATAATTATCACAGAAATTTTGCGGAACGAAAATTTATTATCATTTTATTTCTCTAGACAATAAATCTTCAACCACAGTACTCAAATTATTAACTAAGTAAATATATATGTATATACAAAACGCGGTTAAAATCGACTCTATAAAACCATTCCATAGAGCAAATGCCAACCATAAATAATACATATTTTTTAAACCATCACGGCCACGGCCGCACGTAAAAAGATATCGGCATAATGATTTATAATCGCCTATAGCTGATATGTAAATTATTTTCTGAATTATCATGTTCATTGTTTCAGATGATATTGGTAGTCCGGATAGTACATTCACAATGGCGTCAATAAATTCATCTGGGGAGGTCAAAAGTCCTGGGGATCCACCGGAGAAGAAATTCGCAGAATCAGATCCCGAGAAACAACCGCTGTCTGGGGTGAGTTGATATTATAAGTCTTAATTATTAATTACTTATAATTATACAGGATGTTTTAATTATAAATTAATTAATTGATCCTTTGCGAACGTGACGGCAAAACAAAATTCTTAATGAAATTATGCATAGATCAATGCAGTAGGTATTCTTTTAGGAAAACTTACAAAACGACATTTCTTTCAGTATATAGAAAAAAATACTTAGTCTTTTTTTCAATTTTTCTAAGGACATAACGACATTTCTTTCAGTATATAGAAAAAAATACTTAGTCTTTTTTTCAATTTTTCTAAGGCAATGTCACTATAACTGTGTATATGAAAGTACTCTGAATCTATTTGACGCTGTTGAATGTTTTAAGACATAACTGTTAAGACACTGGTAACGGTAAATTAGCAAAAAGTGATCATGTTTGACTCACTCATTATCATTAAATACTTAAGTATGTGTGTGTGTGTGTGTGTGTGTGTATGTGTGTATGTGTGTTTGTTATCGTTAGAGCGACATGCTTTTAGAGATAGGTAAAATTAATAACAAATCGATGTATGTATAAAAATTACAGTACTACAAAAAATAAAAACAAAAATAAAACTATTGGAAAAAGAACGATATAAATAATTCGATTATGAATAAATGGAATATAAAATTAATTTTTCTTTCCCATTAAATTTTAATATTTAAGTATTTCATGTAAATTTTAAAACTTATTAAAGTAAAGTTTTATTAGGGCGTGATAAACAATTGTTACAAATTGCATTTATATTGAAAATAGCGATAATAATCTCATATTTTTATCTCGACCGAGTGATTCACGTTGCACAATTATACATAGATTCAGATAAAAAAATTAATCCCACTCTGAATGACTATTCCTTTTAGTGATTATATCAATCTATTTAATTATCTGATAGAACGGTTTCAAGAAGACTAATTATATACGTATATATGTACATATGTGATATGAAAATTAAAATTTTCTTTAATATTATTGTTTGATATATATTTTTATATATTTAGTGAGATATACAGTGTATATTTTTGCTTTATTTAAGTTTCAAATATTTCTAATACTTCATAATAGTACAATTTTTAAATGGTTTGTTCAAAAAGTTTGCTCTAGAGCCGTTAACTTTTTAAAAAGCAAAATAATTTCCGTATTTTACCTAAATTAGGATAATATATGTAAAGAAAATTTAATCAAAATCTTTTAGGCAGTTCTTATGTAACATAACATACACACAAACTTTCCCTTTTAGAATGTATATATTAATTTTTTTGTAAAATTGATGAAATATTAGTCATGTATAATCCATCAATGTTATTTAGTACCACATCCTATAAAGTATGACATTTTGATAAAGTAATTAACAAATTAATCAGTTATCTATATTAATTTAATAATCTTTATTAATTATATGTATTTAAGCGATATAATATTTGCGATTATTTTATCATATCCCCTACAAGTGATAAATTTACCAATAAGTGAATATACGCCCTTATTTAGAAATTCATTTTTTATATTTAAAAAGCATTAAGTCAAAGAAAACGTTCCTTAAAGCAACATACAATATTAATTATCCAATTAGTCAATTAATATTTATATTAAAATAAAACATTACCTCGTTTCCAATATTCCTTATCGGTAAAGGTTGGTCTTTTTATCTTTAAAAAGTTTAATTTAATTAATTTGACAAATTTCACACATTCTTATCCTATTAATCAATACTTAATTTATAAACTGATATTATTTAATATTTTTCCTTGTTATTCAAATCGGTGAGGTGTTCATATAGATAATGTTTAAAAAAACATGCTGAGACGAAACCTCTTAGTATGAATATATTGAAATATATTCACGGTGTGGGTGCCGGGTCCATCGTTGCAGGGAGAGGAGCTTCAACAGTGACTGGGACTTGCGACACAGGTGTATGTTTAAGTGGCCCCTATCTAACGCGCGTTAAACGCTTACCTTCACCGTCCAAACTCCTCTCCCTGTCTAGTTATTTTTTAAATAAAGTTCTAGTAAAGTATCAATAAATAGACAAGATAATTTCGTCCCCTTCTATTGTTCTTTTTAATATGCTAGACGTGATGTCGAGACATTTTAATTCAAAGCGCATCTGTACATAATTTCCTGCAAATTAATGTAAATAAGTTCTAACAAACGATGTATTTCTGGAATTACCGTCAGAGTATATATATATATATATATATATATATATATATATATATATATATGTATAGGTTTATAAAGTACCTTTTATGTCTGTACGTTTAAGTTACGCGAACGCATAGATATACACACGATTTCACCGTTATTTCCTATTACCCTACTAATATAATATACGTGAAAGTCTCTGATCAAAGACGTCAAACAGTTTTTACTATTTCCCGCACAAACTACTAAACATTTTTTATTTAAATGTACCTATAATCAAACTAAGACGAATGAAATAAAAAGTTAGCCTAACTTTTTTTGGATTGACTCTGAAATAGTCCAGTGTAAACCCAGCCTTAAATATATAATGTATACCAGAATTAAGCATCGGTAACAAGTGTCATATTTGGCATGTGACAGTGTGACATTTTTTTTCCAAAATGAATGAACGATTAAAATATTTATTTGCAATGATATAGCTATGGGAAATACTGATATGAGGAGAAAAATATTAAGGATGTTGAAATAAATAATTATAAATTATTATATTGTTGTATGAAATAAATTTATTATAGTTGGTTTAAAAGATAATAAAGATTCTTATTCTGTTTTGGACATTGTGACCTAAATTCTCTAGTACACATGCCATATACCTTTTTATATTTTAAATCAAATATTTAAATAAAACTATGTGATAAGGATATAAGTGATTTGATTTATTGTCATTTCGTGAATCAAATTTACTATAAAATAAAAATTTATTTAAATTGTTTATGATTGTTTAACCAAATGTGAAATAAAGAAAAAAATATGTACAAAAAGTAACAGGATACTTAAATGTGAAATGTGTCTCGTATGCCTTATTACTTTATTTATTTATACTATATAATCCTTACAAATATTATAATTTTAAATATATTTTAAATAAAATATTATTTTTTTAATGCTTTCTCGGTAAGCTGGTATTTTATTTTTCAAGTGTTTTTCAAGACTGTAATTATATTGTGACTAATTTATCACATGGATAAGGATTCGTAATTTCTTTATTGTAATATATATTTTTTTTATCTCATCAGAAAAAGGAGGAGAGATGGTGGACGACCCTGATGCAGATAGCTGTTCCCTTCTTCATAGCCGGTTGTGGAACAATAGGATCCGGCTTGGTGTTGGGTAGTGTTAAAGTGAGTATAACAATTCTATACCTTACTATTTAATAATTTAATACTATACTACCTATAACCTTGATAAAACAGATTGATTTGATAAAATTACTTAGTCAGTGAAATTATTTCGTCATCATCCTTTCAAAGCCCACTTCTGAGCAAAGGCCTCTACTCACATGGAGAAGGTTTTTCAAATTAATTACTTGATCAAATTATCTATTTGATAAATTTTAAACTGACCATTTGACCGAATTACCCATTTGATCAAATTATAAATATCATTGTATTAAATGCAAATGTAAAGTTTCCATAAAAAAAACGATATTTATACATATTTATTATTTCAAAATAAATTATAGTCTTCGTAATGAAGGACTTACGTAAATATATTAAGACATATTAGATCATAACTTTATAATATATATGTGTACTTGAAAAATATAAGACTTTCTAAAGAAAGGTTTTGTTATCAGTATAAAGATATACTTCAATTGTATTGTAAATAGGCCCAATAAGTCTTAAAGAGCACAAATACTTCAAGATTTATTGTACCCAATATAAACTTAGTTATCAAAGAATCTGCCGCAAAATACTTTAAACCTTGATATCTTATGAGTAAATGTAAAATAAATATAATGGAAATTTATTTAAATGAACTTTTGTTACGTAATAATACATTTACTTCTTAGTATATCTATTTAAGTTTTTCAATCTAGTATACAAATAAATGTAGGTACATATTCATTTCAAACTTAATTAGGGCTTTCATATAATGTGTATAGTTGTAGTATTTAAAAGGTAAACAAAATACTTAACAAATTAGGATTAAGAAAACAATTTGATAAGATCGTCCTAATAAAAAAGGACTGAAAAATAAATAATTCTATCATAGTTTCATGGGCCGTAATGTCAATTCCTTACGTTCTATACAAAATATAGTTTAATTGCTTTTAAATTTTATTGCAATTTATTTCTAGTCATTTCTATATCTGGGTATTTCCCTTTAACAATTCGCTATGAGGTTAACAGTCTTAAACCACACATAAAATTTATATCTCAATAGACACTTGACTGGAACAATGAGTGATTTGTTGTATTAATTCTCGGATTATATATATATGTATATATATTTATTATACCTATATAATTAAATGAGAAATAATATTATGAAAAAGAGCGTTAAATTCTAAAAATAGGAATATATTCTTCATTTCTTTATATCAATCTGAAGTAATAGTCATGTATAAGCAGTATTTTCATTCGTAATATTCAGTTTACCGTATTTAATTGGTATGCTTTTTTGATTACTGTTCCCAGACTTACCATTAAACAATTACATTGAAACTCTGAATAACTAACTATTACATGTAGGGGTTAATTTAACGTGTGTATGTCTTACGAAGTATGTTCTATTGAGATCAAATAATATTTGTAAAAGAATATTAACTTAAGTATAATGTTCACCAAATATTTAGTAGGTTATTTTTACTATAACTAATTTTATTTTCTGTTAAATTAACTACAGTTATTAGTTAATGAGGAGGTTTACTTCTTAATGTAAATATTTATAATTATTCTGTTGAACTAAAGTTTTGAAAACTCTTTTACAGAACTGGGAGGTATTTCTGCAAGTCAAGGCGATTTTCGTTTTAGTGCCATCCCTATCCGGATTAAAAGGTAAAGAAACATATCATATTATGTACGTAATATTACGAAATTAATGCTTCGTTTACTTGAAAATTATTAAGTACTTTATTTTTTATTATATAGATGAAAAAAGCATCCTATGAATGATCTGCGATTAGTACAGATTTTTCTAAAAAAAATACTTTAAGTTCTTTTTAATACTTTAAGTTTAGGCAGATTATAAAAAAAATTACACAATATTTTAATATAATGACATAATATGTAAAAAAATATATGTACATTATGTTGTTTATTATGCCGAACGACAATGCTTTCAAAACTTGAATTTACTCACGAAATTATGTACTATTTGCAAGTCGTTTGTGTCGGTAAATTGATGTAATTGTTGTAGCGTCATTATTCATACTACGAGTAGAGCTTAATTATTGAGTTTATCACTTGTGCGAGGAAATAACATTTTACAAATGATTCACGCACAATCAGACTGATTGTTAACTAAATTACTGTTTTGATTTCGATCTATAACCATTATAACATGAGCTCTTGAAAATATCGATATAATGTATTAAAAGTTTGAATTATTTGATAGGACAATCACAAATATTGCGGAGATTAGAAAATAAATATTCTCTTTTATAATGTGAGAGGTTTCTTCAAATATTAATCTTCTGTTTTAAGGTAACTTGGACATGTGTCTCGCTTCACGGCTCTCAACTCAGGCTAACCTTGGTAATATGAGATTACCACGAGAAGTTATATCAATGGTCGTCGGAAACATATCTCTGGTGCAGGTAAATTAAGAACAATCTATACTTAATATAATCAAAAAAGATTCATAAATATTATTAACAAAATACTCAATTCTTAACCTTAATACGAGTATAAGCAAAAAATTCTAAGTAAATCGCGATAAGGTACAAAAATATTGGTCCAAGTAGAGCGATTTTGCGTATATTTTGCTAATTGCATATTTTTTTGTAGGTTCAAGCTATAGTAGCGGCGACAGTGGTATCCATGTTTGCTGTGGTGGTCAATACAATAACAGATAGACAATTTAACGGCAGCTATGTACTGCTATTGATCGCTTCAGCCGTCTTCACCGCTACCACCACTTGTTTCGTTTTAGGTATGTATGATTTAAAATACATGAAAAAATATTCATTTACCAGTTATTTTTAATGGAATTTTATTAAATATTTGTGACATTTATAAGAGTCTCTTCATACATTACAGATTTCGTTATGGTAATAGTGATCTTCGCCTCGCAAAAGTTTAAAGTAAATCCCGACAATGTGGCGACACCTTTAGCCGCTTCAATAGGTGATATCGTTAGCAACTCAGTATTGGCAGTCACTGCTGCTTATATGTTTGAACAAATAAGTAAGTTTTTACATACATAAAAGAAAAAATATATTTTTTTAATTATATATATTCTAAATGTTATCTTTCGTTTGACAGAGATATCGTTATGGCAACCGATTGCACTTCTATGTGTATACTACAGTCTTCTTCCCATTTGGGTGTTCATTGGTTGGAAGAATAAATATACGAAAGCCGTCCTCACTACTGGATGGACCCCGGTCATATCAGCTCTGTTTATTAGTGGGTGAGTTAATTACATCATAAAAATTATTCTAACTAAACTGCCTTTTTCACATTTTGTCTTAATGATTACGGTTGCTGCAAAGTAACCAAAAGGTTCTGAGTGTATAGTTAAAATAATGAAATACGCGTAGTGATCAGAAAATATAACATACATTCATTTAAATAAATACTCGCGAAAGTCTAAGATCTCACTATGAAACTATATTTAACAATAACTACAGATTTATAAGAAATGTACCTACAATGTGATAAACTATTTTTTTTGTTGGTTTTTTGTTTGACTCATATATGTTTTTATACATTATCTTACTAAAACTCTAACATACAAAATCAAAAATACAAACAGATTTATGTTGACATTTAACTTAAAAAGCCAGATGAATATACATATCAAATATTTTTAATATGTATAATAATTTTAGTGTCGGTGGTATCGTATTGGATCAAGCTGTGGAACAATATCCCGGTTACGAAGTTTTCCAGCCGATAGTGAACGGTATCGGTGGTAACTTAGTTTGTGTACAATCATCACGGCTGGCGACACACTTACACCAGACAGCTATACCTGGCATACTACCAGAGAATACCAGGATCATTGAATGGCCGTGGAGAACGTTGTTCTATGGAAGTAAGTGTTATATGTTATATAGAAATTACTTTAAATTTTACTTACATCTCCTTCGAGCAAAGATAGGTTAGAAGTCATATAGGTGGTTATTAAAAAAATATAGAGAGAATATAAGTACATATTTGTATTTTATTATTATCGAAATATGTTCCTAATCAATGGTCAATCATAATATTTTATACGAATTGAAGCCACGGAATTAAAAACAGAATACATTTTTGTCACATAGTATTTTTGTGTTTAAAAGTAATTTGAAAAAATTAGCTGTTATACGTATATTAATAGTCACCTACTGGTTTTATGCACATAATATAACAATTTGATAGTTATTGGACAACGCAAAAAAAAATTAATATGACTTATTATATTCGTCGATAGAAAGTTCTTCTTACATTTCGATCCACAAGTTTTCCTCTATATGTATAAAATGTTTATATTTTATTTATTAATGCTATAATATTCATTCTTTCCAGCTCCTGCAGCAAAGATAGCGAGAATGCTGCTAATATTGGCCGTTTGTGGACAAATAGTGTTCATGATTGTTGCTGATGTCGTATTCAGAGGATTTGTCTCGCTGCAGTTCGTTTTTGGCGTCACTTACGTATTATGTTCTGTTATTCAAGTAAGTTTTTTTTATATTAATACACTTTTAACTTAACTTCAATGTAATTCCTTAAAAAAATGCAGATTTCCATAAAAAATAATGTAACCTAAACAAAATTCGGTATAACTCCTAATATAATTGACAAAATCTATTACATTTTTTTATTTATATCTCTATTTGAATTATAATATCGTAATTCTTTTTGCAGGTCATGGTTTTACTCTACCTTTCTTACATCCTGATACACTTTATGTGGAAGAGGAAGAAGGATCCAGACAATGCAGCCATACCATACTTGACGGCTCTTGGCGATCTATTGGGTTCTGTCTTCCTTGGTCTAGCGTTCTTAATCCTATCAATATTCGGCATGGAATACGGTAATAATGTACAATAAAAGAAAAATCGTATGACGGCTGAAAACCCATATATTATAACTACACGCTTCAGCACAAAGCGATACAACGAATATATTCGTATATATAGCTTTGCGATTCGTGCGATTCGTCTAATGGATATCACCAAGTAGCTATAAACGTTATACGCTAGCCTATTTGCTTGAAACTAAATGAATCTATGGCTGTTCATTAACAAATAACGTAGAAAATGTGTCAAATAAAATAATTTGACATAAAAGCTCCTTGCAGTGCCAATTATTTTGGAGGAAGTTTGATCTGCAAGACTTAGTTGTATTGATGATATATTTTGATGACATTACTTTATATGCTATTATTATTAAATCAGCATATACAATTACGATGCTTTGAAATTAAGTATTATTTTAAACGATCGTAAGTCAAATTAAATGCTATATCATGTGGATGTAGAAGGAAGTTTTGTATTCGCATGTTATTTTATAAAAAACGACCTGCTCTAACGGGAGTAGCTCATCTGTGATAGATTATCCAAAAAAATGTGATTTATTGCAATTATAGCCTTTTAAAACCGAGTCAGTGGACAATAAATTGATGTTTGACAGAATAAAATTTACTTGCTCTTTCTGTGTATGTTTAGAAACAAATCTTCCTTTAAATGTTGACAATGAAATAATTCTTTTATGTTTTCAATTGGCTATTTTGTTTTACCTAAATTCTGTTTCTAGTGTTTGTTAAATCTAATCAACTTTGTTTACTATCTCCCATATCATCATAGTAATATTTTTAGTGTATACTATGTATAAATACGGTACTTACATTATTTACGATTGCCTGAATTGACTAACCTAGATAAATAAATCAATACATTCCAATAGTTAGTTATAAAAATGTCCTGAGTAGATGTAATTAGCTGTTACCTTAGATCAATGAGTACAATAAAGCAATTGATAGTATTAAGATACCTAAAATAATTAATTATAGTTTATATAAATTATTGAAAATAATCGTCTGGATTGTTTGGTTTGTAAGATGTAATGTGTGATCTCCTAAAAACATTTCGCGATAATGCATTTTTTGATGTCTACCTCCTGTTGTGAAATAAAATATATATATTCCATATAAATGACTTACGTATTAATTGTGGTCTCGACGGATATTTTATATACTTTTATGGATTATCGCATGTTTCATTCCACCGTACGATAATTTTAAATGAAATTATAGTTTTTTTTATATATATACATTCCGCTGAATTGATATGTGGTTTAAATGAAATAAATTCGTCACAAATCAAAAGTGGCCGCTCGCTCTAGACTTAAGGTATACATTTGAATGAATGATGTGATACATTTGAGATTTTAATATGTATATATAGATTGTTATGTAGTATGTAGGCAAATTAAACGCCAAGGACATTCCAATGTTTATATATATTACTTTTTTTTTTATTAAACAGCAATGCCCGTAATAATTTCCTCTTTACACTGATGTATGAAAATTGTTTTTAATTTAACGTAGTTATTACTTTTGAATGAATTTTACCGATACACTGACGGTGCTTTGTCGAGACTTAGGACATGAGAAATTGTTATAGAAAATACAGTATTTTTAATTGCAAAGAATAAAATATGTTCCATGAAATGTATTGGTATTTTTAATTAGGGGATTTTTATTTTATTAAAAACAAATTAAAAAAATATTTTTGTATTTTATTTTTCTTACAGACCATTTATATGTGCCTTCCACCATAGATGCAAATAAACACTCATACAAAAACTTAACCTATATTTTTTAATTCTTACTTATACACATATATTTTAATCATACATTAGGAAATACGAATGTTTACAGACATTTAAAATGGAATTTGATTCACGATTTTTTTTAATGATGTAAAAAACTAACATTTTCGATCGGTCGCTGCTAACTGATAGTGCCGCCTTCCAGCCTGAGTAGCGGTAGGCACAACTAATCGGTGCATATATTCCATATAAATAATCTCAAGGACGATCTACAAATCTCCTGTTGTATGTGTTTTTGAAAAACTATGCATGTGTTGTGTTCGAGAGGCACTGTTTCTTTAACCCTACTCCTTGAAAACGTCATATAGACTGTCAAATGAAATATGACTATTTAGCCATTTTGTTATAATTATTGTCATTCTAAGCGCAAGTGAATAAGTTTTAATTAGCTAAAGAGTGAATTTATTAAGGAATTATGAAAAATTATAGTTGTAAACTCTATACTGGCGATGTGTGATTAACAAAATTAATTACTAGTGTCGTTTGATTTTTGAATTTGTCGTTTTCATTTGTCGCTGTTTGAGGATAAAATTAAAATAATTATAAACCAAATATGTGTGACTAGTTTATATTTGACTAAAAAAGATAATATTGATTTTAATAAAAAAAGCATTATGATAGTTTAGATTAGATAGCAGGTCGTGTATACACAAATAAGTTATTTTTTTTCCTTATTTGTTGTTTTTAAAAAATAATGATAAGAATGTTTGTATCAAGTAACAAATAACAAGTTCAACTATCCTATAAATATAACTATATGTATTTAAAATAAATTTCTAAATATACATATATAACGAATGGAATATTCAAGGAAATACTGCTGCTGCTTAAATACCAATGATTAGATAACGCTGCAGATGTCTGTATTAGCTATAAAAGCTTTAGATATCCCAATATTAGAGGAAACAATAAAATACGGATAATATTAAAGATAGATTTGTTTTTAATCGCCTTTAGTTACATGCTGTTCTATTAAAGGATCCTTCTATTTATATGCATCGTTATATTTTGCAAGTATTAAGTCTAAGTTAGAAGACCATCACCTTTGATAGATTTCAATTTTCTTTTTTCTTGACTTGGAATTACACAACTTTGTGGTGCTGAAAAAATAGTAACAACTGGATATGTCACTGATTGCTTCATCGGATTTGACTTCACATGATCTTCGTAAACAACTCAAGCCAAAAACAATATAAAACATCTTTTATCTTTCTATGCCATATGTTTTTCTCCATACAAATTACATAAATCGACTTACAATTGTAATAAATTTAATTCATACCAATTACCATGTACCGTAACAGTTAAAAAATCATTATTCATTTAAATGAAACTAATATTTTTTGTAAAACACACTTTGTTATTGTTAAAACTACATACTCCCGACGTTTCGATTATTATACTTTTCAGAAACCGTGATCACTGACAGACAGATGTGAATTTCACATATTGAAAAATATTAGTTTTGTATAAAATAAATAAGACGTTATCTATCTGTTAAATTAACTTTTAAATTTGAAGTATGTTTCAAGTGATTATAGCATTGATACTACATTCCCGAGGAGTCCCACATTACACTCCGACATCCCCTATGAGTAGAAGGAAAGTGATAAATCGCTCTCCCAAACTCAAAAAAACAAACGAGTGTGAAAAATTTTAACCTTATAATATCTTCATAATGTCCAATTGAATTTGCATTCATTTTTATTCCCCTGTAATGAGTAAGCCAATAGTATAAATGGTTGTAAAGTATTTTTTTTCATACAGTAAAAATCAGGATTTACAAGTAAGAATATTTTTTGTGTCTATTTTACACACATAAGTGTAAAATATTTATTATTTTTTAATAAAACATGCTTTCAAAGCCATTAAACATCGCGTAAAACCTGTAAATAAGTATTATGCCGTCAAAAAAAGAAAAATTAATGGTCATATGTATATATTACTAGCATATAAATATTTAATATAATTTCATATGCCGTTAAACTTCAGTCTAACTAACCGACACAATTCAGATAGCGGTCTCTTTGATAATACGAAACGCTGTTTTATTAAAATCAAAGCACCCACAAACGTATCCAGTACAATCAAACCACAGATCGGTCTCGTTATATTTTTATATGTATATGTTTCAAACCTCGTAAGATTAAGAAATTAGTACAATATGTATTACAAGATGTAAGTATACTATTTAACAAGTTGCTTGCATTAATCAGTGATGTCTAAATACTCTTAGAAAGAACATATGACTCAGAAAAATCACATTGGTACTTGCCAGGATCAAACCCGCGCCCTCGTGCATGAGAGCCGGGGCTTTTAACCACTAGGCCACCACAGACTTTATTCATAATTCTCACATGTTAGATAATTCAAGTTTAATATATATAGTATACTCAAGTTTTTAATTTCCTTCTCTGACATTAATAGCTATTTCTCTAGCTTTATGTGTTTTTTAACCCTTGGTAAAGTCAAATATTCGATCTTCCTTGAATCTGGTGACCTGCCAAATATACTTCATTTAATAGCTTTGTGCTAGAAAATTTTAAAGGAAAAATTTTCCTTATAGAGCAACTTATAATGTATTAACATACAAATGTCTATATGTATTCGGATATTTTTAATATCTTCAGTCTGTCTGAAACTGTTTGTCTAATATGGATCTGAAGTTAGAATGCCTATATTTAAATTGCTGCATATAACCTATTTCGGCATGAATATTACTATTTTATGAAATCGTTCATCCATTTTATATATGAACATAGATCATTTTCTTTGTATGTATATATGTAGTTCGCCATTTGTAAGGAATATTTGAGAACAATTTTTTTAATATAATTAAAAAAACGAAATAATTAGAAGCAATACAATTTTACATAATATAATCGGGAGTTGTGTAATTTCAATCTTTACAATCATATAAGGTCGCTACCCTTTAAGATCAAGGAAGAAAGATTAAAAGAAAATTTTAACTATGACGTATCTATAACACTTTTCTAGTACGATGATAATTTAACTTAATTATAGTTACAAGATTTTTAGTATTTTTTATCTACAGGTCAATTATTATATACATATATATTTTTTGTAAATGTTTTTACGGCTCTGGATACGAGTCCTTTTGAGCCTCTCTATTATTATACAACTGTGGGTATTGCCAGAATTAAATTACTGAATCAAGGTATTAAATTAAGAAATCATATACACATATACTACTATATAGCTACTTATACAGGGTGACTAGTGAATTACTATTAATATTTAAGGAGAATACTCGGTAGATGATTCTCATTCGAATTATGTAAAAAAAATAGGCACTTAATTTTTGACAAAATTTCCGTATAAATAAATAAAGAGTTGACACGTTCCAAGTGTGGACGCGTGCGGCGTCGTGCTGATACAACACCACGCCGCCGCACGCGTATGTGTGAGTGTGTGTGTATAACTAATCTGTAGGGTGTTCACACGATGCGTAATTAATTACATAACTTTTGGTTAACTTTACTTAGAAGTTTATTAATATTTATGTTATATTAATTTTTATTTTGTCATATATGATCGTCAAATATCACGTCCTCAAGTATCGATAGTACTTCACCAGTCACCCTGTATATACATATATATAAGAAGCTATCAATTATACTATGTTCTATAATTACAATTAAATATAATGTTAACATTTATATTTTTTTTACTGGCAACATTTAGACGTCTATCTGTACTTTGAAAATGTAAATACTGGTATCGGCCATTTTGTATTTTAAAAATAAACGTTCAGCATTAATAAACAAGACTTTGTATTTGCATTGTGTTACTATTGTTTTAATTTGACGTCATATATCAGTATGGATAAATATTCCTAATATTTTTTTAACTACCAACAAATATTTATGAATTGATATAAAAATTCTCAAACTCATTCATTTAATATGGTTAGAATAATCAAGTCAGTAAGGCTTACCCAAAATGACTCTTAAATATTTTACACCAACTAATTTAACTACTATACGATATTATAAAAAAATATTACATGTTAAATATAAAATAAAATACATAACATTATAATTATTAATTTTCTATTTTTAAAATTTAATATTATATTAGCTTTTGAACGCAACTTCGACAGCGTTAATATCCAATTTAGAAATTTATAGCTGACCAGACGAACTCTATTCCTCTTTAAAGGCAGTAAATAAGATTTTGGAATTTATCAATAACTATTTTTATGATTGCATGAAAAGTATTCTATAACCTTTTTCTGGTTCTAAGCTATCTTTCCATCATTTTTCAGCAAAACTCCTACAGCAGGTCTTTCTTTTATATACATATATCCCTACTAATATTACAAATGCGAAAGTAACTCTGTGTGTGTTACGTTTTCACGCCTAAACCACTGAACTGATTTTAATGAAATTTGGTACAGAGATAGAGTTGACCTTGAGAAGGAACATAAAATAGTTTTCTTGGATAGTTCTCTTGGAAACGCGATATAACCGAACTCCACGCGGGCGAAGCTGCGGGCGGAAAGCTAGTAAATAATATATTTGACTCTCAATATACTGACTTTAGCTTCAATTCTCTTAACAACTTTTCAAATGTTTGAAGTTGCAGTTGACATTAAAATTATCGTACAGATTTATCTGATTGTAGAAATATTAAAATATATCTACAACTAGTCTTTGCACATGGCTATGCTTGTTCTTTGCTTTATAAAGTTTGTCGTTTATAACTATATTAAATATCAGTTTCGTTACTCTATTTATTTTCTAAGTAACGATATATTTGGCAATAATGAACCAAAGAGTTACAAGTAGTTAAATTAATTAGAGGGTTTCGGCCAAAACGACATGTAAGGTTTTTTCAGGAAACAAATTTAATAAAATGTACCTATATAAATAACAAGATATATATTTGTAATATGATTTTAGCTTCATAAATTTTAGTATATTTTATAGACGACGGATAAAATAATACCGTCCATTATTAAATCAATCCAACACAGTAAGAATGAATCAGAAATGTACACTTTATAAAATTTGAGACTGTAATTAATTTATTTCGGTTTTGTTAAAGAGATGTCAAAACATGAATCTTCTATATATATAAAAATGGATTGCTGTTCCTTAGTCTCGCTAAAACTTCAGAACGGCTGAACGGATTTATTTTATCTTAGTCTTGAAATGTTCGTGGAGGTTCAGGGAAGGTTTAAAAGGTGAGAAGAATTGATTAATTTTCGGGAAAACCCTAAAAGCAGCCCTATTCTATTTCCCATACAAATGTTTTCTTTGACATTAGATTTGACAACTAACTAATATGTCAATCATTCTGTTCGATTGAAACAGGAAAAACCTGATTATTTATGGCCTCTAGGACTGAATAGAGTTCGCCCGGTCAGCTATACATATATTACTAATGATGAAATTAACGTGGACGAAGTCGCGGGCAAAAACTAGTATATTATAAACTTTAAAAGAAGAAAATTAGTAGTAGTATTACCCTAACAAAAATAGCGACGTGGTTGATAAACTAACTTTCCATATTGTTAAAAAAAGATCGACTTAATATATTATTTATTTGAAAATTATTTTTGTCAAAACTAATTTCACGAATCTCTTCAAATGGGTTAAAATTACGAGAAGATTATGTAAGATAGGGCACTAATGACACAGTTTGGCATTAAATATGCCAATGGCTGTATTTCTCGTCTGAAAATCAACTATAGTCCAAAAAAGCCTACTCGTATATACCGATTCCATCAAGAGACTGAACAAATATTCTTATACTGCATCGATTGGACCATTAACATAAAATCTCTAATTCACGCCCCAAACTACTTGACATTTACTAAAAGTTGTTTGCACATAGCGCACTCTAGTGTTTAACAGGTTATAAAATTGGTAACATCCCCTTCAGAAACCGAAGAAAGATAAAACTAGGTCACTATATTTGGCAATTCGATTTCTTAAGCCTAAATTCTTTGATACAATTTTTAAATTTGCAAATTATGGTTATAAATACTTGTAAAATCAGTTTTCGATAATATTATCTCGTCCATACTAAATTGTATCTGATAAATGATTCCCAAGTAAATCTCACGTCATTTCGTTACCTGATCACCAAAGATGCAATCGGCACACTGATTACTGATTGCTGTTTAGCAGCAGGAAGCTGAAATAGTGTGCGGTCGCACCTGTTTCTGGCGACAAGTGATTCCGCTGCCAACGGATCGTTACCATAGCACGCGTGCGCGAAGAACACACCACCTACAGCCAGCAGTCGCTCGTTGGCGGGCGCCACTCACGCTCGCCCGACCACGGATATCAAAAAAATTCACAAGAACATACATCGCGCATGCGAATATCGATCACTCGCACTCGAAATGGTACCCGAATCTAGGTTAACCGGCTAAAATTAAAGGTGCGTTCCGAATTCAAGGTTGCAACCGCCGCCGGCGCAGCGCTGAAATAGCTATTGTGCATGGAAATATGGTTATCACGATCTAGTAGCGCCCGTTGTACAGGGGCGCGTTTCGCTTGCGGTTTTTCCATGATGGCGGATTGAAATTATGTAAGATTCATTATTGTATGGCTCGGGATTGATTCCGTGTTAGGCCTAGCCCGTCCATTGTTCAGATCGATACGTGAGTGTCGGTGCCTCTTAAACTCCTGGGAGCGTCTGGATAACGGTTGGTAAGCGCCAACGTTTCGCTAATAAGATAAAATTAAATCGAGACGTGTTATTCGCTCGCTGGAAGGTTAGACTCGTTTTTCCACATGTGGTATCATTTTTCCGACACTTATTGGTTTTTTCACTAATATTTAAGCTACTCATTCATAAGCCATTTCATCCGTATAGAAAATAACCTCTTAAATTTTATCACTTTATCAATCAAATCTATTTATACTGTTGTGTGATACGATCTATATTGTATATTATGATAGTTTATGAAAATAGTGACACCTTATAGTTGGCATGTAAAATTTTATTTCAATTACCTAATGTCGCTCGTTTAGCGCTAGACGCCGCTAGATGTCGCTAGTTGTCTATTAGATATTGACTTTTTTCAAGGCAAACGTAAAAACGTACGTACGTTTGACTACGTGAAGGTTGCTATAGATAAATTATCATCGTATTTTATATCACGATATTTATAAAACACCCTTGGAATTAACAATGTGGCTCCTGTAATTTCCGTAAGTGAATAGCGTACATTAGTTCTATTTTTATTATAATAATAATAGAATTATGTTTTTGAACATTATTTTTCACGTACAATATTATTAATGTAATTTGTATATAGTTATTTAGAAGTAAGATTCATACAAGAACGTTACGTAATGTGTAACCTAATTAATAGAATTGATGAAAATCTCCTTTCATGTTACAGTTAAATAATTTTCATAATTATAAGCATCTTTTTCGTGATGATAATAAAAAATATACAGAAATCTTGTAAAATTAAAGGTATTTTTAATACATACTTGTTTTTAAGCAATAATTAAATTTTCTTTTTAATACCTGGTTAATTCTATCTAGAACGACATTTTGTCCAGAAACTTTAAACCATATCTCTCACGTAGACCACACAATTAATGATTTAACTACCAGATACATATAATTTTTATAAAGAAATATTCATTTCCAATCAATAGTTATGTCGTTATTAAGATGATTTTCGTCTCTTCATATAAATTAGTCTAATAAGAGCGAAAGGCGTATTATTATTATTAAAAAATCACGTAGCTGATATTTCTCACGAGCTAAATACATCTATATTATAAAAGTAAATTTAAAAAACTCAATAAAACTGTCAAGTATATTTAACGTTAAATTTCATCATTAGTAATAACTCAAAAGAATATTTAATCATTTCTTAAAAGTCCTTAAAATGTATGCTAAACTATTAAATCTCCCTTTGCGTACCAATACATATTTATTATAAATTTATTGTCATATAACAATGAATAATTACTATTTGTATGTCGTAGTATAAAACATATAATTATCGACATTTTATTACTACAATTAACATTTGTAAAGAAATTTCAAATGAATGTAATAGTCATCATTTGATCATTACGATTAACAATCAAGGGTTGAACAACAAACGAAAACCAATTATAGTCCAAAAATTTCCAATATCAAAACATCTATATTACCCAACACTTAATATTTTTTTATATACATATTATGGTTGGTTAGTTGTTTAAAATTAGCCTTCATCCGTGCAAAGACGTGCATAGTATATTTTTCCAGTGTCGCGTAGAATGGTGGAGACACGTTCCGTTATTAACTTAAATGAAATAAAATTTAACGGTGTCTACTGAAGTCAAAAAACATATTATCACACATAATAAATAGCAGATTTAGTGACAATTAAAACGACGTACGTCAAGTCCTATCTCAGTGTAGTACTTTTTATACGACGCAAGTGTCCAATTAGATACGTTTTCAAAAACGCTGTAAACCTTTTTAATTAGCCGCACTACAAAAAGGCTGTGTGACCTCTGACATTTCGCGGGGTCAAGAGGCCACGGATCCACCCCCCAGGTGGGGGGGGAGGAAATATTTTTATGTAAATCGCTTAGAATACATTACTATAGGAACTGCTGGCGCCGTTTATATCAATTTTGGATGAAATCAATTGAGATATATTATAATAACATTGAAGAAATGGACTAAAAGATGATAATATGCAAAAATTCTATAGCATCGAATGGAACAAGCTTTAAGAGTGAAGAGAATTTTTTAATATTCCGAGGTAGTAAGAGATTAACCAGCAAAACCCTTTTAAAGCTAGTTGAAACAACTTTGCGAATAAAATATAAAAAAACTGTAACTCGACGTAGTTGGAAAGAATCACAAAAGTTCTGGCTTTTATTTGAAATATTTTACACGTTGAATTGTAGATGTTTTTATATACTTTAGGTAGATTTGAATTTTAATGAAAATAACGTATGTGATTAACTTTTAATTTTATTTATACATATAAATAAACTAATTTTGTTTTATTTAGTGTGTAGAATGAAATAATATTTTCTGTCTTTCCAATTTACGAAATAACTAGCAACTATATTTGGAATGTAATATTTTTAGTTCTCGATAGCTCGACGACATAAAGTTTTTTTTAGGAGACTTTAAGATCATTAAGATAAATTTATTTGATTATCACGTGCTTTTGTATCTTAATTTAGTATTATATTTAAATTTAAATATAGACACAGAAAGGGAAATACTTGTCTACAAAATTCTTTTACATCTATAATGAAAAAGTTGTTACAATTTTCTTTTCCATACATTATACAAACTATTAAATATTCCAGTGATTTCTATTTGATATTGGTAATTTTATTATAATGACTATAATTTAAACTATCAAATTATTATTACATTTAAATAGTAATAAGTTATGTTTTATGAACAACAAAAAACTTAAGAAAATATCCAATACGAAGATTCTATTTATGTGAAATAATTATGTCGTATTTGCCTATTTGTTTTTTCGCATTCAAAATCTCTGAACATTTCTGCTCATATAAAGTATTTATAACAGTCGTTTATAAGAAAAAGAAGAATAAAATAAAGTACTTGAAACAATTAAGGTGAATAATTTCATTATATCTAGATTTAATAATTTATATGTATGTATATATTTCTCAAGTTAATTGTAGCATTTTGTATTTGACCGACCACTCGCGTTTCTGACATCGATATCTCTCTAAAGATACGCTACCCTATTAAATCATCCGCCATCTAATATAGATCCCTCAGATTGTCTACATTCCATACATGTGTAGCAAACTCCATATAAATTACAACTAGGTTAGTGTCGTCTTACAATGGTCGCTGGGACAATGGTTATGCCACAATGGCTCAGTAACTGTATTTATTAGTTCAACAGAAACTTTAATGATGAATTGTTTAAAAGGAAAACAATACTGTAAATAAATTAAGAAATTATTTAAAAAGATCGATGACAGTTTTCATGCACATAGATATTTCTGAATTATATTTTGTATATACCTATATTTGAACCGCTATACATATTCTGAAATTTTCTTGAGACTTGTTTAAGAGCAAAAGGCGTTTTAAATAAAATCCTTCGTTCCAAAACGTATATATTCCGTATGAGATTTGTTCTATGAGATGTTACATACTTTGATATATTATTGTATTATAATATTTTATTATTATTTCACAGGTAAAGAAGATTTGTCCGTGGCATCTTTCTACACTGGGTAATTCTTTTAACTATATTATATTTTACAAAGCATCTAACAATTGGAGTTGCAATATTGTATATTTCATTTTTAATGTAATATTTTTAATCCCAATCCTTTTAAAGTTAAAATAATTATTTTATTTATTATAAACGAAGTTTTTAAAAATTCCGTAAGACAATTTTAAATGGTCGTTTAAGACTGCGACGTAATAAGTATCTAAAAAAATAGAGTTTGGATTACGGTAAATAAAAATTATCATCATCATCATCATCAGCCTATCGGTGACTACTACTAAGCAAAGGCCTCTTCTAGCATGGAGAAGGATAGAGCATTGATCACCTCGCTTGCTCAAGTTTGCGATTTCAAACTTATAATTTGAAATCATAAGTCCAGGTTACCCTACGATGTTTTCTTTCACCGCTTATATTAAGATTAATTTCAATACATATCATTTTATTTGAAATACTTAATAATTTAATACTTTAATAATTCATTTTGACAACGTAAAGATGATATATGTGTTATTTCATGATGAAATTATATTGATTGATGATAGTTTATTGAATAGTTGAGTTCTGTAGAGGAAATATCAATCATGAAGCGACTGTTAACACGATCGATAAGTTTATTTTGGTACAAAATAAATTTGTATGTAATCGAAAATTTAATTTATTAGTTTAGAATCAGATTGGCTGTGTATTGTAATTTGTTACTTTGATATAATATAAAAAAATTGAGGCCTTTAAATATGAATTTTAGTTATTACTTGTCTATTTGAATTTCATTGTATATCTTGCAATCTGGAGGACATGAAATATTTTCATTATTTAATAATAATAATATAATAATAATAATCTTTATTTCAACCAATCTGATCATATTTACAAAATTGTTAGTATGGTGCACTCCTTAACCTATTGTTAGTAAAAAAAAAAAAAAAAAAAACTACATATCTTAAAATTATAGTGTTGCAGTACCTTTCTGACATGATTTGTTTGTCAGCACATGGACCATACTGCAATGGTTCAAGTACTGACAATCAAACCTGTCAGAAAACGCTACTAGGATGCTGTTAGAACTGGCTCGAACCCTACGCACCAGGGATGCACACCGTTTACGCATGGTCGCGTAAAAGCAGTCCACATTCGCCTCGGCGAACATCCCAGACGCGCTGCAGAATCGAGGCAGCCCCATCAGCAACCTAAAAGCGTTGTTGTACTGCACACGTAAGGCGTTGTACTGTTTTTGCGAATAATCAATCCACAGGCTGCTCGTGTAGAAGGATGTACAGAAGGCTCTAAAAAGAGTTATTTTAACAAGTGAAGTACAACGAGCAAACCTGCGTGCGATCATGTTCGCTCTAACAGACAACGCCCTGCGTTCTCGCTCGATGTCCGCATCGTCCTTCAGGTCAAAGGATAGCACATGCCCTAGATATTTAAATTGGTTTACCCTGTTCAATGGGGCGCCGTCTAGTTTTATCAACGGTATCGTTGAGGGCAGTGCTTTTCCTTCAGCCTTGAAGATCATGTATTCGCTTTTACATACATTATAGACAAGACCATGATTGCGAGCATAGTTCATGCATATGTCCAACAGCTTCCCTATCCCACACGCCGAGGCACTCAGCAACACCATGTCGTCTGCGTAGCTGATATTGTTTATATTTACTTTATCAATATGGCACCCGGCACGCGTGCTGCTGAGCTCCTCTATTAAAGCGTTAATGTACAGGTTAAAGAGCTTAGGTGAGGTTAATCCACCCTGTCTCACGCCGCATTCCAACCTGTACGGGGACGAGAAACTATTTGACCATCGCACGACGTTCGACTGGTTTCTATACCAAAATTTAAAGATATTGTTTACTCCTTCCGGAATACCAGTATCCCGCATCTTTTTCCACAGGATATCATAATGTACCAAGTCGAACGCCTTGGATAGGTCGAGAAAACATGCATAAACTGGTGTTTTTCGCTGCGTATAGTACCTGACAGTCTGCTTGAGACACAAAATGGCAGACTCAGTGGATAGTCCTGGCCTGAATCCGAACTGATTGTCATGTGGTTTAATATAATGGTCAAGTTGCATATCAAGCAGACCATCAAGCACCTTAGCTGTAACGGTAGCAAGAGAAATCGGCCTGTAATTGGACTTGTCAGAAACGTCACCCGTTTTGTTCTTCACGATAGGCACAACCATAGTTTTCATCAGAGCTGCCGGCAGGTAAGAATGTGTAATACATAGATTATAAAAAGTCGCAAGCAGTGCCGGAAGCAAGGGGCCAGCGTGCTTTAAATGCTCTATACTGAGCCCATCATGGCCTGGGGACTTACCACGCGACATTGAGGTAATAATCTTGTTTACGTCCTCAGATGTAAAACAAATTCCGATCCCCCGGTCACTCGATGCTTCCCCTACCTCTGACTGTGAAGAACCTAACGGGGACCTTACAGCAAAATGATCCCTAAACGTATTAGCAATGAGACCATGTTCGCTAATGCCCTCGACGCTCACAGGAAGACTCATCCCGCTATTAAATTTGTTAGTAGCCTTCCAGAATTGTCTAAAGTCATGCTTGAAGTGATGCGAAGCCAGGATATCCATTTTTATCTGCTCGGCGTTGTTTTGGCACCACTTCAAACGGGACTTGAAAATACTCCGGCTACTTCGCATTTCCTCGTACACATGACCTTTCATTGGCTTACCGTACCATACCCAGACTAAAAACGCAGATCTAGCCTCCCTGTGAGCCTCGCGTACATGTCTGTTCCATCCAACCACCGGCCGCTTCCTAAAACACCTGTTTGTGCGGCTAGACTCCGAGGCGGCATTAGTTAGAATATATATAATGTCACTATAGAGCTTATCTATATACATATTGTGAGTTACATTTTTACACAAATAATTACAGCATTTAATTTCATTACACAATTCTAAGGTACTTAATTTCTCGTGACATAGCTTACTATATAAGTTTATCTGTTCCGGCTTTTTATCGCCCCATAGTATATCTTTCGCAATTATGTTCGAGTTACATATAACTTTTGGTTTAACCACCCCTAAGTCACACTTTATTATCAGGGGATAGTGGTCCGACCAAAACACGTCATACTTAACATAAACATTAACAATTGAAGCTAGCGCAGACATGGTGGCTATACAGTGGTCTAACCATCGTCTCGACCCATGGGCCTCACTAATAAAAGTATATGTATCTGACGAAGGGCCTAAAAACTGTACATCCGCACACGTCCATTCTAACTCATTACAAAAACTTATAAGTTCGTTGTAAAACAGTTCATTTATATGTGAGTTATAGTCTCCGAGAGCATATACTGACTCGATATTTTCATTTTTAACGATAGCACTCACCGAACTGAGGCAATCCGTGAAATCCGGAACGTTTATCAGTTTATCCGTTGGCATATACACACTAAACACTAGTAATGACCTTTGGTGTAACACTATCTTTATAGCACAGACTCTAGGGTTGTCACAGCGCACTACAGACACATTTTGGAACACACTTTTCCGCCAAAGCAGGGCTACACCTCCATAAGGCCTGCCTCGCAACAGACCCGCCTCGGTGTCTACTGCCGATGTGCCCGTACAGCCGAAATCCGTATCAATGGTATTAAGAGACGATAGTTCATGTGGAAGAGTCCACGTTTCTTGCAATGCGACTATATCTGAAGTCAAACAAAGCTGTCTTACATTTTCCATTGATCGTTTTAAACCTTTACAGTTAAAACTTACAAATTTATTTATCTGCATTTCCAGTTTTCGCTTTCTGTCTAAAATTAATAAATCGCTTAAATATTACCCCTTGAGGCCAGAGCGATTCATCCAAAAACATTGATGTCATACTATCGGGCACGAAGAATTTAAAGGCATTGTAATTCCTTTCACTGGGGAATACAACTTTATCCAGTTTTATATTTTCATTCGTTTTGTTACGTATATACTCCGTTATATCTTTCTCCGTCGTATCTTTATGTACCTTAGTAATATAGATCGGAACATATCGCACCGCCGCTTTAAATCTGCTGTCTTTGTCGTTTGATTTGCCCGACATACCGAGGTATCTATACATCTTAGTATTATGCTTCCGCCGCTGAACCAATTTCCATTCGCCGTCTGAATTCATAACCTCGGCAAAGGATAGTGTATTCGCCGACTGTATATTATTTAATGCGTTGACGTCTACGCTCGGGTTAGCTTCGGTCGGTGCCGGCGATCGGAGCGATGCGTCCTTCCCCCCGCCGCTACCGCGTTCCGCGGGGTCCCAGCGGTCTCCGCTCGAGCCGCTACGATCGGCCGTTATGTTCTCACTCGATTTTAAGGACATACCCTCAGCATGATTTGTAATTATTAAACTTCTGTATTTGTTAAGTTCACAGGACTTTTGGGATTGAATATCACACTCCATTTGCTCGCCGGAATTCGATATAATGGTATCATTTAGAGATAAGCCCATAGGCCCGCTATTTCTATAAGCCCCCCTTCGCATGTTGACTTTAACAGCTGAAAACGGCGGTGAAGCTGACTTCGAACCCAAGCATTCTTTTTTCACCTCCTGTAGCTGGTCTTTGGTTACGTATGAAGCTTTTATATTTTTAATTTCGGCTTGCACCATCGTTAAATCCTTCAAAAGTTTCGAGATATCCAGATGATCGACTCCGATTGGGGGCAAAATTTCAAGGTTCCGTGCCACATATACCGGTAGAATGTCTGGTTCTGTTCTCTTGAGAAGACTAATTATGTCATACAGAGTTCGCGCTTCCTTTCCTTTCCCTTTCCTGCTTGTTTTACGATGCTCGACAGGAATAGATTCAAACAGTAACGAACTTGCTTCTTCAATTTGTTCTGATGAAAACGTCGATACACAAATCCTTACTAACGTTTCTTCATCAGCAATCGACAGCTTACATTGTAAGTAAGCTAGAAGTTCAGAGATCACAATATTACACGAATTACATTTTAACTTCATTGTATTCGGTCCATGCAGCGGGTCCGCTGCAATTACTTTACGTGAAACTAGTAGCACACACCCATCGCGTACAGATGCGCGCGCGCCCAGACATTTAATCAGAATTTTCAGAGAATTACATAGAAAACTTTGTAAAGCTTTTGGTTTTGTTTTTACGTAAGCCTTATAATAGCAGTGATGGGGTTTTAGATAAAAGTCACCGGAGATTATATAGTGGGGTATATTTCGCAAAACTTATGAACTTTTTTCATCTCAATAAGTTTTCAGTTCAATACTATTACTATAGAATAGCAGCTTCGTTCGAGTATCGCTGAAAATGTTTCTCGTAGACTTTTTTACAAGGTAAGGTCCAATCGCCTTTGAGACGTCCAAAATCCTTTTCTCGTAATCGGAATCTACTTCGATCAAAACTATCTTACTAACATCAGTTTCTGATTAAAAGATTTTGTTAGCGCATCCTTCTTTGTGTCAACAACATCTCTGAGTTTTTTTTCCATGTTCTTGCAAAGTATAAAATGATCTCCATTCTGAGATATATCCTGAGAACGATGCCATAATGATGACAGACACATTACATCAGAAGGTATAATAGCTTCTGTCTCCCTTTTCCACAAAAATACTGAGGAAACCCAAATTTTTCGTAATAAAACCGAAAGCAAATGTAACAAACATATTAAAAGAAGCGATGTATGTATATAACATTCTAATATTTTGTTACTATCTTTAGTAAAATATCATAAAATATAAATTAATGGATTTAGTTTCTAGCAGAAGTTATTTTTTTGTATCGAATAATCACTCGGTTTCAAATTCGAGTTCATGTCAATTTAAAAATTAGATAACTTTTAAGGAGAAACTAGATTTTTGGTTATATTTGTTATATTGTGACATTAACAAAGTCTGAAGAATTTAACAAACAAGACCCTTTTTTCAAAAATTTTACTGATTACTTCGCTATGTTACTGTTTTTTAGTTATAATAAACCATAATTAATAAAATTAATATTCTTGTATTAAACAGATTTGTACTTTAAATATTCAAATAAGATTTATAATAATTTAAATATAAGTATAAGCGATGGACAAAATTTATCACGGCACATAATGCACATGTTGATATTATGTTCTTTTTTTTTCAAAATCTTAATCTAACAATTATTATAATTACCTAACTTTTTAGCTAGAATATAACATTCATTTCCAAAACGAAAACAATCATTTTAGTCTTAACAGTAACCAACATAATCTGAGATCTATTTTAATGAATATTTAATATATTGGAAAAAAATAACCGTATTATCCAAATGTAAGTATAGGCAATTAAAAAGCACATGAGTGTCGCTAGAGTTATTTCTGGCCATTGGCCGAATGCCAAGCTTTCTTGGCGTTGCTTTTAGGGCTGTCAAATTTCTTACTCTCATTCTTTCTCTCCTTTTTGTAAGATATATCGAAAACGCAATTATTTGATCACCCTATTTTCCACATTTCAGTAAGAATATGTCTCAAAATTTTGATGTGTGTTAAGTAATTAAATCTATATATATGTATAAAAGAAAGTTGGGATACAGTTGCAAAATTTGTTGGGAGATGGCTTAGAATCAGGTGACTTACATAGGATATTTAATTCTGTATGATCGAACAAAAACTCAATAAATTCTAATATCTAGTTATTTACAGCCTGTATGGCGAAATACAGTTCATCCGGTCAGGTCGGTCCGAATTTTCTGTCCGAAATTCCGAAAATAACGCGGGCAAAGTCGCGGGCAAAAACTAGTAATAACATATAGCACTTCCGAATTTACTTGAAGCTGCAATATCTGATTTTGTTAGAATATTTTAAGAAGCAATGAAACCGCAAAATATATTGAGACATACTAAACTATCGTCTCAAAAAAGCGAATCGTCTTTTTAATAACATTGCTTTTTCTTCTCGAGTCTCAAAAGACTGGTTTTATGAAAGAAAATAGTCTATTGAGTTCCAACTAGCCAACTAACGCGAGCATCTATGTGGCGTAGCGTAACCATTCCAATATCGGCTCTGATAAATTGATCGAAATCTTATTTGATAAAGATATCAAACACTTCGCCAAAATAATATTGGAAAAAGTTTTATGGAATATTTTTGATGATAAGATTCCATTCCTAAATTACACTCTTGTGATGTATAAAACTTACGCATTAGTTAAATACCTACTAAATATACTATTTTTATTTTGTCTTCGTTATAATGGAAGACTGTTTCATTCTAATTAAATTAGGATCTTCAAGCTTCACTCGTAAAGCAGTCTCCTTGGGACATAACAAAAATAATTCCACGCCCCAATTCACAAGACACAACGTTGTTCCTGCTTATCAAAAACAGGGTTCTCAATTATCACTTTTAATAGCAATTTCTACACAGAATTTTGATAAAATAAAGATAAAATATTCCTCATATTAGTAACATTTTATTATCCTTTTTGTATATATACGAGATGACTTATAATTTGTTGTTGACAACCCTATTAATTTATTATTTTGTAGCAATTCTCTAATGCTAGTCACTAAGACAAAATTTCCGCATACACATAGCTATGATTATAAATAAGTATAAATAACAAAGATGCATATTATAATATTGATGACGTCATTGAAAAGGTTAAATATCAAATATTTTTTGTATGAAAGTAAAACGCACCAAGATGAAACAGAACTGTTTGGAGAACTGTCCTGTTTTTGCAGTCGGCAGTAAAGAATTAATTAGACATGAAAACAATCGTTTAAATGATTATAACTCTGGAATTAAAACGAAAGTAAGTGTAAGGATATAAAGTATTATATTAATATTATTTTTCTTCTTATAATAGTGGGTAATTGTATCATTAATATTAAAAGCACGATAATAATATGACAAATGCGATTACTGGTCTTTGGTAAATTAATTAAATATATGAATACATGACAAACTAAGCCCAAATATTAGTGATATTGATAGAACATGTTCTTAAAGAATTTTTTCAGCTGAAACAAATTTCAATACAATGTTTATACCTATCTTTCAATAGTTAGAGTTTTAACTTCGGTTAAAATTTCAAAGCTATGACTAATTGTCGATTGTATTGAGTCTAAATTTACTAGCGTCTGTTTTTTGTTTAAAATACTTTTACTGGTCGCGTAAAATACAATGAGACGGTCCAGATCGCCTTTGTTACGGATATAGCGATTACAGAACATGGATACTTAAAAAATCCCTTGGACATTGCATGGTATGGCTCAACATTAATAGTGACCCATCCACTTGAGCAGAGTTGTAGATAAAACTTATTTGTATAATGTATAAACAAGTTATTGTAAAAAAATCATATTCAAGTGGTGATATTTCCTTGGGACAGAATAATAATTGAAATTATAGTGAATATACTAGAACAAAATTAAAGAGTGAGACCAACTACCCTTTCCAGATAATGACTATATGAACTACCAACAATTAAATAAAATGCATAATTAATTATACTAAATACTTCAATGAATTTCATTACTTTATCAAATCCCTACTAATATTATAAATGCGAAAGTAACTCTGTCTGTCTGTCTGTCTGTCTGTCTGTCTGTCTGTCTGCTACGCTTTCACGCCTAAACCACTGAACTGATTTTAATGAAATTCGGTACAGAGATAGAGTTGACCTTGAGAAAGAACATAGGATAGTTTTTATCCCAGACTTTTGAAAGGTTCTCTTGGAAACGCGATATAACCGAACTCCACGCGGCGAAGCTGCGGGCGGAAAGCTAGTCTAAAATATATAAATGTATGCAATAATAGGAATATTCTTTGGGTATAATTAATTATTTGCAAGGGCTTTTTCGGTATAACAAATTGAAGAATCAATTTGCAATACTTCGCGTTTCTTCTTATTTAAATTCTATAAAAAATCAGAAAACGCTTCAACTAACTTTATTATTACAATATTACTGAGAGTGCTCAATAAATTTGTTTCGTTTGTAAATTTGTGAAAACTTGGAACTTCGTATTGAAATAAATGTAACTTGCTTCGCTAGAGAATTATATTCGGACCCTCTAATTAGTGTTTCTGCCTTGATTTTAGAGTTTTAATTTTTAATAATACGAGCTATTTTACAATAGGTGGTTTCGCAAAACTTTTCGAAAGCAATATCTTATTTACGTAGCAAATAAGAATCCTGATCGAATCGAATTGTATCATATAATCAATTATTCTTATAAATTATGAAATAAATTTACATTCTTATTTTGTGATGAAAGCAAATAATCCAAGCTAAATTGTAAAAGTACTAATTTTTTATTCTTATTATCGTCTATATTTGAATTGAATCCGCTTTCAGAAGAACTTTAATTGTTCCAAGTGATTTTGTATTAAAACAATATTTGTATTATGATCGTACAATTCCTCTATCCATCTCCGTATTAAGTTAACTGACGAAAAATTGTTTACTTAAACTTTGTAAGCTAATTTGATATAGAGAATACTAAATAATACGTTTTATCTATTGGAAAATTTTACAAAG